TACCCCACTCACAACACTCTGGTCACCAGATGTGTGGCAGTTTTTACCACCACAAGCAAGTCACTAGACACCAGCTGGGTGGTCTGCTATCCTGACACCGTCTACCAGAGATGGCATCTGATTCCACAAGTTAAGGGCTCACCCCCTTCAGATGCCAGTCAGAAGTCCAGGTGACAACGTGGACTTCTCACAAACTAGCTGTAGATGGAAGATTCCAACGACTCCTATCTGGGTATGATAAATTTGCTAGAGCAGCTTACAAAACTGAAGTACACATTTATTTACGTTTACCAACGTATTATAAAAGGATATAACAGGATACAGATGAACATTAGGATGGAAATGATGCTAGGGGAAGGTATGCAGGAAGGGTGAAGAGTGTCCATCCCTCCACAGGTGTGCTACTCTCCCAGCACCTGCGCATGTTCACCAGCTCAGAAGCTCTCTGAACCCTATAGCTGGGGATTTTTCTGAAGGCTTCCATAAAAGGGCATGATTGATCATTAAATTCATTTTTAGCCCTTTTCCCTTCTAAAAAAAAAATGAAGAGCAGGGCCGAAAATTCTAAGATTCTAATCATGGCTTGATCTTTCCAGTGACCAGCCTCTGTCCAGAAACCCACACAGAGTCACCTCATTAGACAAAAGCTACTCCTGTCACCAAAGAAATTACAAGGATTTCAGGAAATGTGTGTTAGGAATTAGGGGCAGAGGCCTGATATATATTTTCTATTATCTCATAGGTACTGACTACCATATTTGTTTAGTGAGGGCCCTGTGAGAGCATATGTACCATTTCCAAACTTGATTTTCAGACCCACTCATTATACATAGAGAGATGAAGGGATTCATAATTAGGCAGTGGCCAAGTCAGGACCAGAACTGAAATATCATAGATCCCATTCCATTGATTGATATTATGAGTTATTATGTTGGAACTTTTGCCACTAGAGTTTATCATTTGCATATAATAGCTCTGGACAAGGGAAAATTTAGATACCATCAGGATACCCAACCAGCAGTCATGTTAGGAACTGAAATAGAAGGCAGGAGAAATATTTTCAGCATATCATGCCTCATAGAGAAATAACATTTTTCAAGTAGGGATTACTAGAAAGCAACGCACAAAGAGTATTTAGGGAATTAAATGATGTGTAATTGTTGGTCATCAAAGTGTGTGCAGCTCAGTATAATATGTTCCCACTGTTAGTGAACTGGGAAAGAGTGAAGGTGGGAAGTATGTGCCGTAGATGATCAGAAAGAGTATGTTAGTACATGTGTGTATGTGTTTATGTGATTGTACCTAGTCAAAAACTAAGAAATTTTATCCTTGTGTATGGATTTTGACCCATGTTATGAAATTGATGATAGATCTGTTGTTGGGTCTAATATTCATGCTGAGCCTGAAGAGTGGCAGTTTGTTTCTGGGACAACACCTCCTGTCTCTGTGTGTGGCAGAGTCCAGGGATAAGAGTATTGTGCCTCTTGAGAAATTTGTGCTTTAGTAAAAATCATTTTAGTTTGTTCTTTGGAAACTGAGGTCTTTGTTTTTAAAGCTGAGAAATGAAAAGTATGAATGAATTTGGGATCATACAATTTTTTATTAGGTCTATAAATTAAACTCAAACTTTTCAAAATCTGAAGAAGTGACTTATGATGTCACTTATGATCATCAGTGCAGCTGATGAATTGAAAAAAACGTTTCAAGAGGGGATCCCTGGGTGGCTCAGTGGTTTAGCACCTGCCTTCGGCTCAGGGCATAATCTTGGAGACCCGGGGTTGAGTCCCATGTTGTGCTCCCTGCATTGAACCTGCTTCTCCCCCTGCCTGTGTCTCTGCCTCTCTCGCCCTCTCTCTGTGTATCTCATGAATAAATAAAATCTGTAAAAAAACAAGTTTCAAAAAAAGAAAGACAAAATCCGGATTGTTATAATACATGTTTAAGACCTTAACATGATTTACTTCTTTCTGGAATTTTGATTTAGCAAAAGCTAAATGCTATTGAAACCCAATATCCATTTTATATGAAAACCTTAAGATAGGTTTTTGATGAAATTTTGCTTCTGTTAAGACTGTAAAGTCCTATCCCATCCATCCTTTAAAAAGTATGTTGAATTTTATAGTAGTTGTATCTTCACTATTATCATTTATGTTAGCTCCCTGTAATTTTAAGCTTGAGAAAAACCAAGTCTTTGGGTTCTGGAGAAAGAGAACTGGAAAGGAAAATAGGAAGTTAACAGATCTCTCAGTAGGAGGGAAGACTCTGTTGATATGACCTAATATTGGAAAGGTTACATGGTCACAGGAAGAAGGGACAGATGGTTCATTGTAGAGTGACTTGATGTAGATCAGGGAAGAATAACATGTCTTTACAGGTTTAATTGTGGCATCTATAAACACTGTTGTAGGAGTTAGGATGGTATAGCCCATTGAAAAATTTCTGCTTTCAAATTTACAACAGTCATAAATAAAGTAGAATCTTACCCTTTTCTAATGTGAGATGAAGGGTAGAATCAAAGTTGGTGATAAATGTATGATTATGTGTTGAGTATTAGAATAGAATTGGATGCTTAGAACTAGGAGTTGAACATCATTGAAAATGATGATAAAAAATCCAATCTGGGTTGGTGGCAGGGAGCTTAATCTTGGGAACCAGGTAGTGAATGAGTGCACCTGTAGATTTCCCCTCTGGCCCAGTGAGTCTATAGGTATATGAAAATGCCAGTGGTTTGTGTGATTAGTAACGGGACATGGATAAAAAGATCAACTTTTATAGGAGAAGGGGACCAGAAAACTTTCCCCCAGTATTTTGGTTTGGATTTTTTTTTTCTTGGCTATGGAGAGAAAGGGACCAAGTGCTGGGTTTATGCTTGAGCATTGTGTAACATGGTGATCCCTTAGGAAAAACAAAACGGTAATGTTAAAAATCCTTATAGAAGCTAAACTTCGGGATAGTGTACTTTTTTAAAGATGACTTAGTTATAGAGAATGGTGAGTTTAGAATGGCGTTTTAAGGAAAGACTAATTTTTTTCCCTTAGGTTGTTACTGCAATTTTCTTTTTTAAATACCACTTAGTGAGATTTGAAATCGTTTGTTTTGTTTTGCTTTGTTTGAATTTTCACATGCTGGTACTACTTTTCAAACTTTTACTCTGAGGTTTTTGATGCTTTTGAGAATTTAAAATGTAGACTCCCCCTGCCTGAAACACTGAAATAAATGGTGGTAATGGTGTTCTATTCCTAAGTATTCCCACAAGCCCACTTAACCATGCCATAGCAGAGAACCACTATTCATAGGACCTCATTATGGATCAAATATACCTTCAGGGAAAACATACTGTGAAAATACATTCTCATTTGGAGTTCAGAGTGCAGGAAACAAGCCCTGTTCCTTTCTTTGTCCTCTGCCCTTTTTCCCTGTCCCAAGTACAAATACAAATCCTAACACTCTCTAGAATTAGGTTTCCCTTTATAATCCGATGGGAAGCCATAAAGGTGAAGAGCAAATGCACAATTTTGGAAGAACCTATATAAATCCGGTCTACACAGTTGCCTTAAGCAACTGAAAGATACTTAGTGTGTGTTTGTTTTGATACTTAGTTTTTTGGTGCTGGTCATTACTGGGCAAAAGCAGAAATAAGAGTAAGAAACACATCTGCTTCAGGCTTTGCTATAATTGTTTCTCCATGGTTTCAGACTGTGGTTCTGATAGAACTCAACCAGTTGTAAATTGTCACCCATTATTTTTTTAAATCTGTATTCTTTATTCTGAAGTGTCACTGTCCATCAATGTGCTAAGTTTGTCTTTCGAGTCCTAATGAAGAACTGGAGGCAAAAATCGGAGACTGGCAAAATGGAAGGTGCCCTTTCTGGGATTCATGGGCTTTTTATACCTAAAGTGTAGTATTTACTCACTTAATTTTTCCCTCTAACTTTTACCCTGACATGTTCCCTGGGAAATATTGTAGATCTACTACTTTTTTGTTGAAGATTTTATTTATTTATTTATTTATTTATTTATTTATTTATTTGAGAGAGAGAGAGAGAGAGAGAGAGAACATGGGGAGAGTGATAAGAAGAAGCAGACTCCCCACTGAGCAGAGAGCCTGATGCAGGGCTTGATCACAAGACCCAAAGATCATGATCACAGGACCCAAAGATCATGACCTGAGCCAATGGCAGACACTTAACTGACTGAGCCACCCAGGTGCCTCTGTAGATCTACTCCTGTCGTAGCGCCCTTGGCCTAGTTAACTATAGTGGACTCAGAATTAGATCACAACCTAAGCAAAGTTGGTGAGCAACTAGTTTCTCCAAAATTGTTTATAGTGATTCTTTTAGGGCCTGAAAACAGTTTTTTTCCTCCCTGAGAGGATTCCCATATGAGTAGAGAGGAAACATTTACATATCATGTCAGCAATGGTTTTCATTATTCAGGTGGGATTGGTTTTTATGTTTTAGCTTCGGGACTTAGGCACATTTGTTCCAGTTGAGGGAGTTCTAGCTCCTGGCTGGAGCAGTGGAAGAGCAGAACTAGACCTCATCCTTGTAGCCAGCAAGGAGTTTGTACCTCGTTGTTCCCACATTATTAACACAGTTGGCTGCCTGTGTTTATTATGTTAGATTATTGGCGCATCTGCCTTGTCTTCTTGAAGATGGATGCTCTTCCTACCTGTACCTTGGGCATGCTTATTACATGGCATGGGTGGCCATATAATTTATCTTCCAACTTTTATTGGGGATGAAAGCTCAACTGGACAAGATATACTTCAAACTTGGATTATGCCAAGATGTATGGTCGCTTTGGTTGTAGCATTTACCTTGCATCCCTGAGGACAGGAGCTACATATTATCAATCATTACATTTCCAAGGTGCAGTAATGACTGGCACATTGTAGATGCTTAGAGAACAGTTGTTGATTCATGGAGGAATGAATACATTTTGGAAAATTGATGCTCTATTTATCTATAAATAAAGTGCACTTTTCTGTTTTGTTGCAGCTGGTAATGCCACTGTCATCAAGTACGAAGAAAAACCTCCCAAACCAGCATTTCAGAATGGTTCCTCGGGATCCTTATATTTAAAGCCTTTGGTATCCAGAGCTCATGCACACTTACTAAAAACTCCTCCGAAAGGTATGTTCCTCATTGCAGTGAAAAAAGGGAAGACAAGACTTTTTTAAGTCCTTACCTTATAGAGAGTTAAATTTTGATAGCTAGTTCCTGGTATATTGAACAGTTATCTACAGAGTCTCTCTGAAAAAAGACACGATACATTTTTACAGCAAAGGAACTCTTCTTCTGAGAGTGGGTAGGTTTTGTAGTTAAAACTTGACGTATATAAATTAAGAGATAAAACACAAGTATAAAGTAAAAGTAAATGAGACTTCCAGAATTAAATTATTCTAAGCTAGTGCTCTTGAACAGTGAGATAGAAATGCATAATTTACTTCCCACCTTTGGTCCAAGCCATGTTTTTTTTTTCTGTTCTTTCCCATGGTGCAGTACTCGGTAACTGCCGTGGCTGTGAAGGACTTTCAGGTTTATAAAATATGTGGTATATACTTAATGTGCAGTTGTATCACCAAATCTCAAGTGCATTTGAAGCCCATTAGAAGTTGGATTCATGCTTAGGGAATTGAAAGACTGCTTAACTGAAAGAATTATGGATGACAAACCTGAGCTCTGATATGTGACCCATATTAGAGGTGATGGTTCGTTAGTTTTTTTTTTTTTTTCAAAAGTATTTTATTTATGCTACTGTAGTTACTCTGGGATATGTATGTCTTATCAGTAACAGGAAAAATATCTTCCAGTATTCCAATTTTAACAGGACGAAATTGCTTAGTTATAGAGTAAGAAACAATTAATGATTTTGGGGGGAAGGAATTTAAAATATGTACGTACCCTATCCTGATATATAGGTTAAGACCTATCTAATGAATTTTCTTGATTTCTCTTAGTCATAAAAACAAAGGAAAAACAGATTGCAAATATTTTCTTAATAGACAATTTCAATTAGAAAACAGTTTCATGAAAACAATGCAGTAGTTTGTGTAAGTGAGCTGACAGGGAGGCAAGAGAAGTATTCCAGCCTGGAACAGAGAACATCTTGTCAAAAATGACTGAAGAATATCTGCTTCGATGACACCATGTACAAGAAGTCATTCGACTTTTATATATCTCAGTTTTACCTTATGTTCAAGGGAAATACAAGTCAGCAGATTATGATCCTGAGTTGTAGTTAAGGACCCCCTCTTTTTTTAGCCTGTATGAATTAGCCTTTTGATTTGGCAATTCCTCTACTTTTAACAATGACTGAATGTGTCAGTAGCCACAGTGGTACACACTCGCCCACTTTAATGTCCAGGAAAACAGAGAAACAGAGTCCTCTTTCATTCCATCAACCACACATAGCTGTTGCATTCCTTCCACTTTTCTCAGGGTGCAGCGTGTACACTCTGCTCTTTTTATTGTGTGGCGTATCACAAAAGCTGCTTCCTTTTTGATGGCTATGACCTATTCTGTTTTCCAATTCCATAAGTTCCTGGACTATTTCTGACTTTTACTGTGGCACATAACACTGAGAGGAACAAACATCTCTTGAGTGTAAGCATTCCTCCTTTCTGATTCTAGTTACTTCTAATGGGATATCCCTGAAAGAGGAATTACTGGTTAAACTGTATGAATCTTTTTGAAATTGTTAATATGTTACTCAGCACTTTTCCAGAAAGGTTTAATATCTCACAGCAGTGTGAGAGTGTCCATTGCTTTCATCCTTCTCCACGTGTGTGAATCTATGTAAAGAATCCTATGATAACTTGAGGTTAATCACCTAGTAATACATATCCGTGCTTTCTCTTTTCTACACCATTGAAGAGAAAATAGGCATAAATACTGGCAAAAAGATTCTTCAGTGTACCAGCAGGTTATTATCTGTGCATGGTCTTAAATACATTTCTAGTGCATCAGATGACCCATTGCTGGGATGACATTCTTCCTGGAATCACATCAGTATGTGAATCTACAGGTTTTATTGACAATAATAAAGTCCTAATATCTACACAAACACCAGTAACTAAAAAGAGATGTCATACTTTGATGCTAAATAACTTCAGAGAATTGGGACTTTGATTCCACTGAAAACTTTATGGAATAGAGTTGCTTGTCTTGCTATTGAATTTGAAAGCTTTTACATAATCACAAAGATTTTACTTGACTGAGAATGAATGATTTTTATTTATAATGGCCACAAATTTTTTTTAAAAGATTGATGATTGAGAAAAAGAAAGGCTGGGGGAGGGGTTGGGGGAGGGCGGTAGAGAGAATCTCAACAGGCTCCTAAGCATGGAGCCTGACACGGGGACTCAGATCATAACCTGATCTGAAACCAAGAGTCAAAAAAAAGAAAAAAAAAAAAAAAAGAAAGAAAAGAAAGAAACCAAGTCAGACACTTAACCAACTGAGCCACCCAGGTGCCCCCTGATGGCCACATATTTAAGAGATTATGGTCTCTGTAAAATTCTGTAGATAGAACGTGGCAGCTATTCTAACAAGTAATCTACAGATTACTCGTTACATAATTTTACATAATTTCCAGATTATGCTCTGGAAATGACAATTTCTGGTCAAGTAGAAGCATTCCTAGTTTTCTTCTAGTGACGTATCTTTGTAGCCCTGTATGTATTACCACCACCACTTGTATTTTTGCCATATTTGTTAATGTATAATTAACAAAATTGTAATACGTATGGTGGTTTGATAGACATACACATTGCAAAAGGATACCCTAGTTATGTTTCATATTGTGTCAGTTTGGAGAAAAAGTTTCAGTATTTTTTCCTTCATAGCTGAATAGCAGGTGTATTGGATTTAATGGCTGGCAGTTTTAGAAATCACACACTAGTTGCTGTCTTTCATAAATACCCTGCTTTTTTGCTCTGTCAGCAGTGGGATAGCATAAACTGTGTAATATGTGTGTAAATTCAGTACGGTTAACATTTGTACTCCAGCTGTTCTTGACTGAAAAAATACTTTAGTTTTCGTATCATATTTAATTTGTGACAGTGAATTCATATCACCCTTAAACTAACATCTTGATGTTATTTGGAATATCATTTTATACCTAGAGTGTACTTGATAAAGTTGATTGTATTTCAGTGGTATTTCTCATCTGGAACCTAAAATGTAGACAATGGATTGTTTTTGAAAATACTTTCTTTGTTTTGAAAATATTTTTGTTTTGTTTTTGTGTAGAAAATATTTTTTTTAGAAAATATTTTTAAATGGCTAATTTTTTGTGTGATATTTCACTTAAAATGTGTATTTTACAATTTTTTTTTTATTTTTTAGGTCCCTCAAGAAAAAACCTATTTACAGCTTTGAATGTGGGTAAGTGACAACTTTAAATATGGAAGGAGAAAAAAGAATCTTTTTGTAAAGTCATATTATTGTTGCAAGTATTTAGGTGTATTTACAGGGATGATTTTCACTATTTTTGCTTAAAAATTGAAAGAATTTCAGGCTTGTGGCATGAATTTAACTGCTGATGACTTGGACCAGAATAGTTTAAAATTTGGTCAACATGATTAACAGCTATTGGATGCAAAAGGACATTTTATTAATAACAGATAATTTTAAATTTTTAAAATTATTTTTAAAAATGTGATCTAAAGTGGAGAATATACTTTTTCACAATAAATGCTCTTTTAAAATTGTATAGTCTTCCATTGCTAAACCTTAGCATCAGGTTTTAACACCTTTTAACAGTTCACCTTAACATTTTTCTGTTCTTTTTTATACTTCTGAACAAACTTGCATCTGTCCTTAAAACAGCTTCACCCATTTGAAGCACTGCTGGGAATCTAAAAGTTTTGTCTCTTGAAAAGCCTTAAAAACTCATAAAATGTCTTTACTACAGTTCCTATATTTGATCGAGATAGCTAACCAGGTCCCCATATACTACTGCATTCTCTAATTTATTATTTATTCATAAGACAGTTATGTGGCTTCTAAATGCATTGAAGGCTAGAACAGCAATTTAAAAGGGAGAAAGGTTTTGTAGCACACTGACTATGGTTTACCATGCTTGTGACAGTGTTGAGTGCTAGGGATAAAATGGTGAGCCAGAAATGAACAAGGCCCTTTTCTGCAGGAAGCTCGGCAGGAGGTATAAATTTGTGAGGCACTGTATTTAGGCAGAAATTTAAGAAAATAGGATTGATATATTAATGTAGGGAATAACTAATATGCTTGATGTTTCAAAATTGTGTCCAGTTTCTCAGCTTAAACAGGGATGCGTGAGGGAATTGTATCACAATTTGTTAACCTTTTGTAAGTTTTTAAAGCTAGAGAAGACTCAGCCATCCAGAGTGATTTAAATTCTAAAGGTCCCCAGTGGCATGAGTTCAAATATTTTTACTAAACTTTTTCTAATTAAAAATACACAAAAAGTATCCTTATACACATTGAGATTTTTATTTTCTTTTGTTTTAAATTTCTGGCACATCCTGGTATTTGGAGGAAAAAGAGAGCTAATGTGCTTTAGAATGATTTTATGTTAGAAAATCAGATAACTTTTAATAGGAAGCTAGATGGTATGATAACTCTGTTTAACTGAGAAACTTCCAGAATGTTTCCCAAAATGACTGCACCATTTTACATTTCCACCACCATGTATGAGGGGTCCAGTTCCTTCACATTCTTACCAACACTTGTTTTTATCTTTCTTTATTATAGCCATTTTAATGGGTATGAGGTGGTATCTCACTGTGGTTTGGGGTTTTTGTTTTGTTTATTTGCATTTCCTTGATGGCTAGTGGTATTGAGCCATTTGTATGTCCTCTTTGGGAGAAATGTTTATTCAAATCCTTTGTCCATTTAAAAATTACTTGCACTGTTGAATTGTAGGAGTTCTTTATATATTCTGGATACCAGATCCTTATCAGAAAATGATTTGCAAATATTTTTTCCCACTCTTTCGGCTTTTTCAATAGTGTCATTTGAAGCACTAATATTTCCAATTTTGATGAGGTCCAGTTACTTGATTTTTTCTTTTATTGCTTAGGCTTTTGTTGTATTTTTAAAATTGAAGTAGAGTGGACATACAATATTAGTTTCAGGTATATAATGGAATGAGCATTTATATACATAGACAAATGGTCACCACGATAAGTCTAGTTACCATCTAACACCATACAAAATTATTAATGCATTATTGATTGTATTCCCAATGCTGTACTTAACATCCCTGTGACATATTTATTTTATAGCTGCAAATTTGTACCTCTTAAGCTCCTTCCCCTATTTGCCCATCCCCCCACCACCCTTATCTGGCAACCACCACTTTGTTCTTTTATAGTTGACCCCAGATCAACATGGATCTGAACTACATGGGTCCACTTTAAGACTTTTTTCAATAAATACAGTATAGTAGTGTAAGTGTGTTTTCTTATGATTTTCTTATTAACATTTTTTCTCTAGCTTACTCCATTGTAAGAATATAATATATAATATAGCATACAAAATATGTGTTAATAAACTCTTTAGGTTATCGGTAAGGTTTCCAGTCAACAGTAGGCTAATAGGTAAGTTTTAGGGGAGTCAGAAGTTGTATACAGATTTTTGCCTGGGAGATTGTCAGCACTCCTAACTCCTGGATTTCTTAAGGGTCAACTGTATTTACCATCTATCTCTTTTGTTCATTTCTTATTTTTTAGATTCCACATATAAGTGAAATCATCTCTACCTGTTTGACTTGTTTCTCTTAGCATAATACCCTCTAGGTCCATCTGTGTTGTCGCAAATGGCAAAATTTCATTCGTTTTTTTGGGTAATATTCCATTGTATATCTATACCATGTACTCTTTAGCCATTTATTTATTGATGGACATGTAGGTTACTTTCATACTTGACCATTGCAAATAATGCTGTACTGAACATAAGGGGGGTGCATGTATTTATTCAATGATCTATTCCTCAACTTTTATTGGGAGCTTTTTGATTACTGATTCAATTTCATTAGTAGTAATTGGTTTATTCAGATTTTCTATTTCTTCCTGATTTAGTCTTGGAAGATTGTATGTTTGTAGGAATTTATCCATTTCTTCTAAATAATTCAGTGTTTTGGCATATAATTGTTCATTGTAGTGTCAGTTGTAACTTCTCTTTCATTCTGACTTTATCTGGGTACTCTTTGTTTTTCTTGAAGTGTCTGGCTAAAGGTTTATCAATTTTTATATTTTCAGTGGACCAGCTCTTACTTTCAGTAATTTTCCCTTTGTTTTTAAAATCTATATTCCCATTTATTTCTCCTTCTGGGGCCCCACAATACAAATGTTAGTCTGCTTGATATTATCTCATAAGTTTCTTAAACTATCCTCATTAAAAACATTTTTGTTTCTTTGTGCTGGTGAACTTGGATCATTTCTACTCCTCTGTCTTCTAGATCTGTCTTCCAGAACACCAGTCCATTTTTCTGCATTCTCTAATCTGCTGCTGATTCTCTCTAGTGTATTTTCATTTCAGTTATTGTATTTTGAGCTATGATTGTGGGTTTTTTTTTTAATGTTATCTATCTCCATATTGAAGTTCTCACTCTGTTCCTCCATATTTCTCTGGTGTTAGATGTGTTTTATTTAGGCTTAGGACTGTGATCTCTTATCAGGTAGATGGCTTATCTTTGTTTCATTTAGTTCTTTTTCTGAGGTTTTGTCTTGTTCTTTTGTTTAAAAACCTATTCTGTCTCATTTTGTCTATCTGTGTTTGTTTCTATGTATTCAGTAGATCAGCTGTGTCTCCTGATCTTGAAGGATTGGCTTTATGTAAAAAGTGTCCTCTGACGCCTGGAAACACAATATCCCACCGCCCCAAGTCCCCCAGCATCAGAAGCAGGTGCTCCATGGTGTTTTCTTTTTTGGGCTATGTGTTCATTCCCCTTTCACTGAATCACTACTCTTGTGGACAAACTGGTGGGTGGAGCTGGTCTCCCTCCAGTTCCTGGCAGGAGCTGCTTTAGCTTCATGCTATCTGAGGCTACTTGCTAGATGTTGCAGATGAAAGCTCCTTGATACATTGCGGGGGAGGGGGCGGTTGTCCCAACTGGGATCTCCTGCTGGGTGAGATAGAGCTAGTAGGCTGGAGGTGTGTTTTCTGTTATGGGTATGTTGAGCAGGGCACATCCACAGAGGGGTGCTGGGGTAGCCAAGTGGTGCTAGTAATATAGAGGGAGAATGTCAGAAATGGTACCCACCAGTGTTAGGCTAGCTAGTTAGGAGGGCAGAAAAATGGTACCTGCTAGCATTTCTGCCCCAGAGAAAGTTCCTACAGATCCCTGCACCTTTGGCACATGCCCTAAAATCAGTCAGCACATCTCTTTCATATATAGCCCAGGTGTTTCTCAAACTGCTGCTTTGATGTGTCTCAGATCAAGTAAGTTTGTGTGCAGGCCTTTTAAGAATGGAGTCTTGGTTTTCTGCAGCCATCCAGCTCTCCCAGAGTTAAGCCTCATCGATTTTCAGTGAGGGACTCATTTCTTCGTACCAGGCTCCAGGGCTGGAGGCTTGAATGCCTTGCTCGTCAGGGAGGATCTCTAGGGCAATCCCTCCTGCTTGTGTATTGTTGTGCTGGAGGTATGGGTCCCATACAAACTGTCTCTCTGCCTCTCCTACCCATCTTGATCTTGCTTTTCCTTTATATCTTTGTGGAAGAGCTGTTCTACTAGTTTTAAGGGCATTCTCTGGAAAATTGTACATGTAGTTGAAGCCTTGGTGTGTCTGGGGGAGGAGCTAAGCTCAGGATCCTCCCGTTCGGCCACCTTCATCCTCTCTCTGATTTTGATGTTCTGTGGAAGAAGCCATTGATTGATGCAAGGTTTATGCCTATGTTTTCTTATAACATTTTTATACTTTAAGCTCTTCAGCTTAGGACTGTGATCCATTTTAAGTTCATTTTTGTAAATGAAGTGGAGGTTCCATCTTCATTCTTTTACACAAAGATATCCAGTTGTTCCAGCACCACTTGTTGAAAACAGTAGTCTTCCCCTCATTGAAATGTTTTGGCACCTTTGTTAAAAATAGTTGCCTGTAAATGTGAGGATTTATTTCTGTATTCTCAAATCTATCCCATGGATCTATGTGTCTCTCTTTGCTAATACCACACTGTTGATTACTGTGGTATATAATAAGCTTTTGACATCAGGGAGTGTGAATTTTCTTACTTGTTCTTTTTCAAGATTCTTTTGGTTATTCTGGGTTCCTTGAATTTCTATGTGAACTTTTGAATCAGTGTCCATTTCTGCAAAGAAGTCAGCTGGGATTTTGCGAGACATTGCATTGGATCTGTAGATGAATTTGTGGAGTATTATCATTTTTACAATATCATGTGTTGATCTT